ATTATGAGAAACTAAGTCATAAATTATTATGAGAAACTAAGCAAAATATAAACAAAACCGAGTTGAACGTCCTTCAAGGACAGCACATCCACATTTGCGCCATCCTTATTCTGCTCTGTCACTCATCGACAACCTGCCTGTTCTGTCTGAGGGCCGTATATATTTACCACAGGTACAGCCTGCTCTGAGCATCGTTATGCACATTCTGCGCACAGACCCTCCAAATAAAACCTGTGACGTTTAAACCATGCGTGCAGCACGTGCATAACAGTCCTGAGCGCAAGCTGTACCGGTGGTCAATAAGAATAAAGCGCTGTTCTGAATGGACGTCGGGAACGGGATATTGTTAGAAGACCGCCCGCTGCTGTTCAAATTACACCAGAGTTGCCGACTGCTACTGCGTTTTATTTGGGAATTTAATCCCGTGGCACAAAAAATCTGGTCGGGTCCCGAGGTTCCTGCAGACCTCTACTACAGACCTCATCAGGAAGATTGATTTAGATTGACTGGTCAGTGTTTAGGTGGTATCCACCTCCCTCTTCTTCTCTCACTTTGCGCAGGTAAACTTGTTGGTCCCTTGCAGCTATCTAGTGTTTTGGGCAGTGTTACTGGGCTTCAGTCTGTACTCGGAGCCAGTGGTGTGTGGTATGGGGCTGGTGATCATGCTCACTGGAGTACCCATCTACTTCATTGGAGTGCAGTGGAAAAACAAACCACACTGGATTTCCAGTGCCGTGGGTGAGCAAGACCAGCCAAAACGGCTTTGCATTGTTTTGTTAGCACTCTGCAATGAAAAGCCATCTGACATCTGTAAATGTACATGTGTTTCAGAGAGAGTCACCTATCTGGGGCAGAGGTTGTTTTATGTGGTCTTCCCTCAGGATGATCCTTCTGAAATACAGCCTCTTACAGAGAAATCAGAGCTGTGAGTGTCAGCAGAGGACTCCTCGCACTGCTTTTTGGAATAGCAAAGACCTGTTTTCCATCCGTTATTGAGTGTTTTCCCTGTCTGATGCTGTATGTGAGGAGATGCTTCCCAGAAGCTCCTCTGAGACTCAGCCATCGTAGCAGAAGAAACAGAAGTTTTATGTTTTCTTGCTCAGACATCACATTTCTTAGTTGTAACTGTTCTCCCCTCACATACATGTGTCTGGACCTCACCTTGTAATTGCACCCTCCTCCTGTCCTGTCGGAGATGAATTTCCATGTCCTCTTCATGTTTTCCATGGGAGTTGTTTGTTTTTTTGAAAACTGTTGGTGTATTCTCATGTGCCTTACAGGATCTCACTCTGTTTTTGAGGTTTTTATCTTTACTTTAAGTAGACTTTTTATTGATCCCCTATAAGTGAGCAAAAGGGGAATTGTTGAAGACTGTTTACCTCTTAACCCAGTCTGAAAACTAAACTCCATCTGTGAGTCTGAACTTTCTCACCTAGGCCTCATCTTCTAGTCCTCCTAATACTTGCTTGCTCAGGCAAAAACGTAATAACGTCTAGCTATGCTCAAAATGTCTATGCAAGGATAGTGTAGGCACTTTAATGTAGTTGCATATTTTTAGCTCATATTGCACGATAAACTTATTGCTATGCTTCCTGAATAAGCAGCAATCTGCTACCACTGTTTAACAGAGGCTCTGCCCCAGCACTTATTAACACTGCCAGCCTCTTAGCCTTATGCTAATGATAGGAACCATGGGATGTTCCAAGTCCGTTCTTCTTGGATAACGTTATTTACATAAAAGGTGCTTTACATAAAAAAAATCCTAGGCAGACACTTTCAACAGTTGTCCAAAAGGAGATTAATGCCTTTACATAACCAAGACATTTGTTGCATTTATTTTGGGCATTGATCATGGACTTTCCACTGAGCTATGCAACAGCCATGATATCTATCTCTTCGTTTTAAACTGACCACCAAACCACAAAAGTCCGTCAAACAGATTTTGAGAGTTTGGATCTGAAGGAATTGTGATTAGCGGCTTTTGCTCTTTAACGTCACTTGAGCTCCCTCTTCTGGTTAGATCTTTCTAGACACCCTATCCTTCATGAACACCCCAGTGCTCTGTCCAGGGGTCCAGCTCAGTGTCTCTCAGTGATGTCCGTCAGACTAGCAGCGTTCATGTTCTCACTGGCCACAGCGGCAAGGCATGCTGAACAGCACAGTACAGTGAAATCTTAATGTAAATATTGCTTAAAAGTTTAAAAAACATCAGGGATTCATTGTGAGATCGCATTCCTGACATTAGTGAAGTGTGAGGCGTATGTATTAAAAATACATATGTTCCATATTGTATGCACTATATGCTGATATACATTTGTAAAAAAAAAAAAATGTTAAACTGTGTTTATCAATAACAATATTAGCACATTAAATTCTGGAAAAGGCTGCAAGCAATTGTGTGTTACTACATGTGTGTTCGAGTAAAGACATGAGGCTACTGCGGTCTCATTTCAAAGGCTGCACCCTCCAGAGGCTGCATTTGTTGGCCACATATTATGTCATTGAGTCTACCTCATTTCAGAAAAGTAACCATAAGAAAGACATTACAATAATTTACGCCCAACACAAGAAATAACAGTCAATGCTTTTCTGACATCCTCTGACAAACATTACCATCAGAGGACACAGACTTCGAAATGAGACACAGCTTATGTTACAGAAATATATTAACTCTAGAATCCTATCGGTTTAGTAATTATGGTGAGGGTTAGGATCTTAAGACTTTTAACAGGAAGTTTCTGTTATATGGCCACTGGTCTATTATGCTACAGGGCTAATTGTGTTCTTCAGGGAAGATTAGGTTTATGAATGACTACACTTCATCCAGATAACAATAAGTGTGTTTCTAATGAAGAAATGTGTGTTTAATGCAACAAGTAAACAGTATTTTTTCATCCTTTCAGCAAATGAAATGCATCAAAACCTTTTCAAACATGTAGCAACCTTGACCATTACCGACCATACACAACCGGATTGGAAGGGGAAAAAATTAAATGTTAAACACATTTACAAAATATTTTCACGGCAACCACAGACTGCAATGAAAATAAGATAGAAACACTTCCAAGGGGGGCATGGGATGATTTACAATTATTTAACTTAATTATATTAAAGCAACTTAATTAAAATGCTAAAAAACTAAAATCCAAATAATATTTATTTTCCTCCCTCAATAACTTTTATTCAAGAACATACAGTTCTTGAAACTTCTAGAAATACAAAATGAATTGTGGTCCAATATTGTGTTGGACAGTTGGTGGCCTTTGAGTCAAAAAGGTTAAGAACCACTGTTCTAGGGTTTCAAGCTGCTGGCCGAATAACCCTAAAATACTTCATTGATTGTTATCTGTTGTCTTCTATTGGATTTTACTTGAATTCCACAGAACATAAAGGACACTATTAAAAATCAAACCAGTAGTCATGTATGCCGCAAGTAGTCTCTTAGCAGTGCTTTAATCTTCAGCCATTTCAACTGAACCCAACAAATGACAAGACAAAGTGCATGACCTCTCTAACGGCACTGAATCTAAAGGCTTCAAACTGCATTAAAACATCTGCAATTCTATAAAAGCTATCAATCTCTGAAATGGAACATTCTTGAACCTATGGGATCAGACAAGAGATCCTGCAGTCTGAGCATGGAGAATGGAGATATGTGAAATAACAGCAGCAGACAGAATGAGTTGAAGGAACAGACAGACCCTTCAGAGATGGGACCAGCTTTTTAGTTTGATTAGTTCTTATTTCTAAGCATGGACCAGGACCAAGTGTGCTAAAGCAGCAAGTATGACTTGCACTGAGTATGTGGCACTACATTTAATAACAGAACATACATACATTCACGGATATGGGAGCAACATAATTTTACTGGCAAACATGCCTCTCAAGTATAAGCATAAATGCTGATGAAATTGTAATGACTGATATGAAAAATAAAGACATTAACATGTGTGGGCTCAAACACAAATGTGATTATTGTGTCATTTTCCCACGACTCCGTGATGTCCTGATGGCTTCAGAACTCAGTTGAGGCAGCAGTACTTCTCAGTACGTCTATAGACTACAACTGTTAACAAGGAAATCCAGGTTAATTGCTTCTCTCTCATGAACCATTATACATTTCCTGAGTTCTGCTTCCCTTCAAGAAACACTCACTGTCTTTTACATGGGGAAAATGCTTCTAAACATTAATTCATGTCAATGGTGGACCTGCCATGATATTACAGTCTGGTAGCCAGACTAACAAAACAAACCTTAAAGGTGGGGTAAGTGATTTCTGGTAGCCAATGTTGACATTTGAAATCACCAAAACAAACACGCCCCTACCCCAAAAGGGTCTCACCCAATTTTGATAGCTCCACCCCACACATACGTACGCAACCCAGGCAACGATTAGTTGTGTGAAACAAAGCAAAACCAATGTTATATCGGATGCGAGTGGAGCGGCGCGACAAAATACTATGGAACTCATTATAATCAGTGATGCTGTCTACACCATAGATATATATATATATATCTATGGTCTACACTGGATGCGGCGCGGCACGACACGACAAATCCCCGACAGAAAACTGCTGCTGCGTTCTATTTATGACGTATTGACACAAATTTCAAATGGTTTTCAACGGTCGCTTTGTCGTGTCCAGTGTACTACAGACTTCAGCTGTTGCGGTGTAGACAAGGTGTTACTCACCTATCGAGAAGAAACAAAGCAACCTCTGTGATCGATCGCAGGCCTTCCGCTCCTTGAGTTCTCTCCAGCACTGGAAAGCTGATCTGATATTTACACAGGTCCTACTTCTTGCCTTAAGCCTTCTTTTGTTCCGCAGGCGTTTTTCTCTTTTGTTTTTTTATCAGCCATCTCCATCTTTCTGTCGCTCTGCTGCTAATGTCTGTCCTGTGCACTGAACTCTCTCTCCTCCACATCATGAGTAGACACGCCCCTAACTGCTGATTGGCTACAAGTTTGTTTTGCTAGTCGGCCTGAATCAGTTTTCTAAAGTGTTTTTGAAAAATCGCTTACCAAACCTTTAAATACAAAAAAGCCGATACAGATCATCACTAAATCAGCAAACAGCTCCAGTAGTCCAGGGGTATAAAATTGTACACCACTGTTCAAAGGTTTGGGGTCAGCACATTTTTTAAAGAAATCAATTATTTTATTTAGCAAGAATGCATTAACTTACAGTTTCCACAAAATATTAAGCAGCACAACTGACAAAAAGAAACTGAAGACTGGCGTAAAGGCTGCTGAAAAATCAGCTTTGACATCACAGAAATAAATTACATTTTAAAATATATTAAAACAGAAAACAGTTATTTTAAATTGTAATAATATTTCACAATCTTACTGTTTTTACTGTATTTTTGAATAAAATAAATTCAGCCTTGGTGAGCATAAAGGACTTCTTTCAAAAACTTCAACTTCCAAAAAAAACAAAACAACCTCAACCTTTTGAACGGTAGTGTAGTGTGTTAATGCAGAACACAGCCAACATTCAAACATTCTGGCTGGTTCTGATAAAAATGAAATGAGTGCAGGAATATTTCAGCAGGCGACACAGTGAATCTCTTATAAGGCATTGGGGAGGTGAGAGGAGATCTCGGAGGCCTTTTCAGAGCTCCCGAAGGTCATGACAGAATGTTACTGATAAAAAGCAGAGATTCAGGCTAATTTAGTTCTGTGTAATAATGATATTCCATGTGGTAAAGTATTTATGCTCAGTCCTTTTGTGTTGTAGCCACATTCATAAGGGTTTTAGGTGATTTCTAGCAAGTGAACAATCATATTGAATGCAGGAGCTGAACTGTGAGATTATCTAATCAAGCATGACCATCCCCTCCCAGCTTTGATCACAGGAATACAGTAGCCTATATGTTCAAATATTTCACAATATTATAAGAGACTTTCCCAAATAAAAAAGGGGGGGGGCTTGAAAATATTATTCTCTACAAAAGGGGGGCCCGACAGAAAATGTTTGGGAACTACTGCACTAACAGACTCATACGTAATTATAGCTTGATTTCATCCAGCATGTATACATGTTAATCAGACTACAACTGGCCCTGCCGTTGTTACAGAGGTGGTGCTCAACATGTATTTAATCCTTCAAATATTTGCGTATGCATTGTATCATGTATACTTATAAAGACTATAGCTTGATAATGCAAAAAACTCGATCATAACTGCACATGTAAACATACTGTACTTTATGACTCTGGATGGAAGGCTGTAGGTTGAACCTAGCAAGGCTCACTCTGTTGGCACAAAAATCAGAACAGGGAGGGTGATAAAGGCTTCTCAGTGCACTAACAGAATCTCATCATCCTCTTCCTCGCTAGTTGTGAGTCTGCAAAGCCTGACACTGTCACCAGGAACCTCTTCTGTTTCTGAAGATTTCCTGGCGTGTCCGTGAGCATCTGTGAGCGAGTCTGTGTGTGCGTTCTTATGTGGTTTTCTGAATGTAGGAAAGCTTCTCTGCTCCTCAGACTGACCGCTGGAGGACGTCGGTGACTCAGGGGAGGAAAGCGGTGAGATGCCCACAGAGGTGTAGCGCAGGAGAGAGACTCCTCTGAGCTCTGCAGCCAGTTCCTGCACCAGCCGTCTGGAGGATCTCGACTGGCTTGTGCTGCGTTTGGGGCTATCGGGGGGTCCAGGAGGACTGTCATCATCTTTATGTTTTGGGGAAATGCCCTGTTTGGATTTCATTCTCATCCACTCTGATCCTCTGTCATCTTCATCATCTTCGTCTTCCAGAGT